TTACTTTTTTGCTTCGAATCATAAGTGTGTGGATAACGATAAATAATATAAAAGTGATTAGTATATTTTCTAATTAATGTTTATTATACATATAAATGTATTTCTTTGAGGAANTACAATACGTATAATATTAACATTAATATTTATTTATTCAGTATAATTTTATATTTATATGAAAAAAGTAAGACAAATAACAAGAGTATTAAATCATTCTTATTTAAAATTAAATAATTTTTTAATTAATAACAATAATTAAATAATATATAAAATAATTATGCTTTCTTCTGATAATATTCAATTTTTTAAATTAAAAAATATACGTTACTATCATTATTTACTCTCACTTATTATTAACTGAAACTAATTTTATATTTTTTGAACATTTTACACTACTTAAAATTGTAGGCATTTTTTTTCTCTTATTTGCAATATTTTCTTTGTTCTCCTTTTTTATTTGAGATAGCAGCTTCTCTTCCTGAATCTGTTTCTGTTTTTGCAGTTTTATTTGTTGCTTTGCTTCTTTTTCTTTTTTTGCAAGTTTTTTCTTTTCGGACAACTCAATTCTTCTAGCTTCTTTTTTGTTTTTCAATTTTTTGTTTTTCGAATTTTTTTTCTTCGTTTAATTTTCATTCAAGAGATGAGATCGCAAAGCATGTTTTTTCAGTAAATTTCTTCCCTTTTTGTTGAGGTGTTGGTGGCCGCGGCAGGAAATTCTTCAGCTTCTTAGGACAATCACTACGATGTTTAAGTGACAAATCAAGTATTTCGTCTTTTTGTTCGTTAGTTACCATATGATTATTTTCTTCTAAATTATTTTCTATGGTCTTTTCCGCTTGATCAATAATATTATTTAAGTCTGATATACTGCTATTTATACTCATTACATTTTCTGATCTTTTATCAACATTGTACTTTTCAATATCACAGATATTTTCTATAAAATTTGGCATTATTTCATCACATTCTTTGTTTTTTTTATTTTCATCAATTGCTATAATGTTATTATTGTCTTTTAAATTAATATCACAGGTAGTTTCTATAAAATTTGATATTCTTGCATCACATTTTTCGTTTTTATCATTCTCGTTAATTAGTATAATATTATCTTTTAGATTATGTTCAACACTTATATTATAATTTTCATCATCACATCTAGTTTCTGAGGTATCTAATACTATTTCATCATTTTCTATAATTATAGGTATGCTTTCAATGTTTATATTGTTAAGATATGTAGATATTTCTAAATCGTCGTTCTGGGAGATTGGTGCCTTTTTAAATTCTTGGAGTAACTGATAAAGAATAGAAAACTCTTCTGCGTTTGTTACTTTACTACTTAAATTATTAGTAAACGTTTCTAATTTTTTCAATATATTATTTCCCACTATATTCCTAAAATTCTTAAATGTAATTGTTGTTGTATCAGATGGATAATTAAAAGTTTCAATTTCTTCAGTTTGTTTTGAATCAAGACATTTAGTATAGTCAATCGCATTTGGGTTCCAAGGATATAATCCACATGCTTTGAAGCCATTTTTAATGATATTATTATTGGATGATAATTTTTCAATAGCAGTTTCCAGTAACGGTGCTATCCTATCTAAGGACAGCATTTGCGTCGGATTTTCTTGCCTCCATTCTAATACACATTTCTTCCATAAATGTTTTAAGGGTTTAAACGCTGCAACATCCGCTGGTTGCAAAATTCTTGTTGAATTTGGGTAGAGGCAAATGAGTATGATTTGCAATTCAGAACAAAGATTACTAATTTGCATTGTTACGTGGCTGCTGTGTCCATCAACAAATAAAATTACGGGAAATGTTATTTTTTCCTTCTTGAGATATGGATAGAATAGGGTGACACTCTATTGACCACAGTACGATTCGACACCGCTCGATTCGACACAGATTTATTCGACACCAAATTATTCGACACCGTACGATTC